TTCACTTTTTTCAAAAACTAAGTTTTTTTTTGTAATAAATATAAATCTTTCTACACTTTTGAATAACTATAGTAGTTTGTCGAATAATTATCAAGCATTTAATGTTCATATTCTTTCTACTCTACGCTTCGTTTAACGTCGATAATTAATCTTCTTAAAACAATTAAAAGTAATGTAAGTAGAAAGTGAGTAACTAAAAACATCAAATCTTTTTGGAAATTCTATTCGAAACCAGAGTTTTATTTATTCCAAAACTGAGGCGTTCGTGAACCGAGGTTCTCTTTAATAAAATTACATAAAATATTTATATAATATTAGATAATATTAAAAAAGCTAAAATTTCAATAGAAAGGTAAAATTTCATTAATTTGTATTATTATATAAATGAATGGAGTATATTTTTTCAATTAAATGGTTTAACTGTTGGATGAAAATGAAAATTTACGAAACAATATACGTGATGTAAACCAACAATACCGAAAGGCAGAAGACCTATTAAAGACACACAGTGGTGTTTTGTGCGATTTCTTGTTTAATTGCCCGACCATTTCAAGCGTAAACAAAGAACAGAATAACATTTTACTGCGAGACGACTGAATCTCCTTTTTCCTGCATTTCAAGAAGAGAAGAATCAAAAGCGTGCCAAAGTACGTCTAACCAGATTACGGCACGGTTTTCGTATGAATCGGAGGAAAAACGTTGTCCGATGGAATACATTAACGTTACCATTGAGGAGGTGTCGTAACCTAAGCCACGGACATGTTTCTTCTGTTCTGTTGTTGTGCGTTATGTAACTACTCCGGTTGTGGGGAAATAAATAATATAGATTATTAGTCCCATCGGAATCGAGGGTTGAGGACATTCGCGTGGGGGAATGGAATCCACATCTGATGATTTCCAGATAAGGGACGAACATAACGAAAAATATGATATTATGTGCAATTGAAATGATATAGGTTCGCTTTTTTTTATGTGTGTGAAAGTTTCATGTGAAACAGATCATATTCCGATCGTAATAAAGTAAAGAATAAAACATAAAAAAGATTTTTGTTTTAATGTACTACTGAAACGACGTAAAACGAAGCGTAGTGTTAAAGCTTGAAATGTTTGATATTTGTTGGATAAATAAATTTAGTTCTTGAAAAAAGTGAAAAGATTATTGTTTTAATAAACTACTGAAACAACGTGAAACGAAGCGTAGTGTAAAAGCTTTAAATGTTTGATATTTGTTTGATAAATAAATTTAGTTTTTGAAAAAAGTGAAAAGATTTTTGTTTAAATAATCTACTAAAACGACGTAAAACGAAGCATGGTGTAAAAAGTATATAAACTTTTAATGCTTGACAAATAATTTTAGTTCTTGAAATAAATTGGAAAGATTTATATTTGTCTGAAAAAACTACTGAAATAAAGTAAATCGAGACATAGTGTGAAAAGTAAATGAACTTTAAACGCTTTGATAATTGTTGGACAAATAACTTAAGTTCTCGAAAGAAAAGGGGGAAAAGCGGGAAGAAAGTTTAATTTTCATCGAAGATGCGGGTTCGCTGTAGTGAAGAGATCAAAGGCGGCTTTCGCCCCATCAAACAAGCAATTTCTTTTCCGTTCGCGGAGGGATCATTGTCCCCTCATTCAATCGGAATACATCCCTTAAACTATTCTCTCTTTCCATTCCTATTTCCACTCTCTTCTCTTTCATTTTTTTTCATCCCTTCGTGTTTCCATCAAGTTCTCCGCGTTTGTGTGTAGCAACAGCTCGATGCAAGGATTAACGGCACGCGTCCACTTCTCGCCCCATGGGATCGAATCCCGCGTGTTACCATCGCAATTATAAATCTCGAACAGGGGTAATTGGATACACCACCATGCAGCATCCACCGGATAATCCTCTCCATGCAATGCAAATCGATGCCATGGGAACCGGTAGCAAAATAAAAATTTTGAATCCGTCATATGGTGGAGAAGTGTCATTAAAAATCTGTCGACTCTCGATGACACGCACAGATGCAATTCATCCCTTATTAATGGTATATTAACTTTCGAGTGGCAATTATTCAGTTTTCATTCAATATCTCTGTGACACGGATCCATTTATGTACAGCTCTTTTATAATATAAACAACAAACGGGTGTATTTGTGCATCAATCTGCTTATAATAAAAAAAATATTGGGTCTAAAATAACATTGAAATTCAAAACATCAGAGGGTTACCAAATGGATATACACACATAACAAGAATGTAGACCCAAAATAAATATTTGGTTATACTAAATATGTTATTTACCCTTAAGTAAAATGAATAAAATATTGTTTACATCAAAGAATTTTTATAGATTTTTACCATTTTTTTAAATCTCAGTAGAAAATAGAAGTTTTAAAAAAAAAAAGTATATTGAAACTGAATATTGAAGAAATGTGAATGTATAGACAATTTAATTAAAAAAACCTTAAGGAAAATATTGAAAAGTTATACGAAAAAGAAACAGAAATATAAAATTACAAATTATAGAAAAATGTAGACAAATTAAAAAATTTCTAATAAAAAGTAGATAAAATTGTAAAAAAAAAATATAGATAAATTATTTACAGAAATTGTGAAGAAATTATAGAAGAAAAATATAAAAAATCTAATTTATAGAATAAAATAAGACCAAAAGGAAAAAAAGTATTTGGTTAATAAACTTTTAGTTCAAAGGATAAGTAAATTTTGTAATTATTATTGAATTCAATTGAATTCTTTTAGAAAACTAGACTATTGTATCTAATTATTACATAATTGATTATTATTATTATTAAATTATGATATAATTGACTAAATAATGAAGTAATGTAAAGCTGTAATGTAACTGTAAAGATTTCAAATAATTCTATAGTCATTTGTATATGACATACATTTCCTTATATTCGCGAGTTTTCATTGCAACCACGAAGCATTACGATCGTTGCAGTATGTATAATTTTATGGTCATATGCATATATAAAATGATAGTTCTCGAATGTTTTCTTGTGTTCAGTAATGAATGTCAATGAAGGTTGCATCTACATTGCTTATTAGCTTACATGCATAGATTTAACTAAGAACAAATCTCTTTATGCATTAAAATGACATTATTTTACATAATTATTCAAAGTATGTTTACAAATTTTGTAATTCCATAGTCTATATTTACATTAGTTTATAAAGTTTAAACTTAATCAATTTGTCTGTTTTTTTATATTTTATCAATTTATAATCAAATTTGTTAATTTTTCATCATTTAATGTATTTAAATTTTAATAAATAAAAAAAAATCAATTTATCTTTCACGACAATCTTAATATAAAAATTAATTCTAAATAATATAAATTATATTTTTTTTCAACAGAAATTTAAATATTTAATTAAAAATTAATGTTTTCACAGATTTTATGTTTCTTAAAAGAGTACATTTCATAAGAATTAGCTTATTTTTAAAATAATATTATCTGAAATACTTTTATCGTCACGTTTCTAGTATTATTATAATCTTACAAGAATTTTGAGTGAAAATTTTTTATTTCAATCAACATTTGAAAATGTTAATATTTTTTAAATTAACATTTAATTACGAATTTTAGATTTTGAAAATTAATTAATTTGAAAAATCTAATACAAATTAAACTGTTAAAAATCATAATTTTTTTGTTTAATTATAATATTCTTCCATTTATATTTATTTCATTTAATTCATATTTGTTTATTTTTACAAAAAATTTAAAAAAATTGCTTTAATTTTTGATTAATTATTTAGTGTTTAATTAAATTAAAATATTTAAAAAGTTATAATTTAAATTCTTAACTATATCAAACAACGCAGAATCATTTTTCTGCTTAATTTCATATGAGTTTACTGTCTTTTAATAAAATTTATAAAAAAGTTGTTAAAAAATATAATTTATTATTTTCTTCTTAATTAGAATGAAGCATGTAGAAAGTAATAATTCCATTTAAATATGACAAATCTTATATATAAATATATCAAACGGATAATAATCATTACACTTTATACTAAATTCTTAATATCTTGTAGTAACGAAACAAGTTAAAATTAGAGTAAAATATTTAGAAAGTTTCATTAAAACTATAACTCTTTCAACTTTATTATTATAATCGTACATTTCTTGCAATATAATACAAAATAATTTAAATTTGTTTTAATTAAACTTAACTCTTTAATTAAAGTGAAATATTTAGAAAGTACAATAATAATAATAATTTCATATAAAATATGAGAAACAAAAAAACCTAGATCCATCTGCTCAGCAATAATAACTCTTTCTACTTTATTATTGCAGCCTTCCAGAAAGTCGGCACAAAAATCGTCGCTTTTATCACATCGCGAACCGACGATAAATCACGTCGTCACGTCGACGCGCAATTTCAAAACCGGAAAATACGTATCCGACTCGACGCGATAAATAATATCCCTTGCGCAAGATTCTTTCTTTAAAGGATTAATTAAACGCAAGCAATTAAAACCGACCGTCGTGTATTTAATAATTTAAAAAAAAATAATAAAAAAGCGCGCGCATAAATCCGGCCTTTATCCTGGCCTCATCATCTTCTCCTCAGAGATATTTTAATGGGCAAACAGGAGCGATTTCAAATGTCGCAGATGATAATGACGGATAAACGAAAGGAGATTCCGAGAAAATCCTAAAAGGATTCCAGCTACTTGCGATCATTACATTTTTTAAAAAACAAGGAAAGTGAAAGAAAAAAATATAAAGGAAAGTGAAGGAAAATAACGAAAAACCAGTGTGCGTTTTATAATTAAAAAAAAATCGTCTTCGTGTGTAATTTGTAATTAGCTGAATCTTAAGAAAATATTTTTCGCTTGCTCCGGTGTTTTTTTTTTTTGTATCAGACTGCAGGAAATTGCTGCACAGCTTCGATAAGCATTCCGGGTTTTGATTGTGTGCCAACATGTTGAAATTTACAATCTATTACTTTGCGTTTTATTGCTGTAAGTAGTTTGCGCGGTAATTAACACGTTTGTTAAAATGTCTCTTCTGTTGTAGTTCTCTCAGATGCTTTGTACATTTCCGATTGGAAACTGAATGATGGTGAGTGTTGAGATGAAGGTTTGCTGAATTTGATAACGTGTTTTGGTTTGTAGGTGATGAGAGGATTAAGAGGGATGAAGCGCCTAAGTTTAAGTTGCAGCTGAAGAATTTCAACAAAGATGGTGATGGGACGAATCAATTGGTGGAGAGGATTAAGGATAAGATTGAGAAGTTGAAGGAGGGAAGAGAGGAGAGTCCAATTGTGGGACAGATAAATCCTAGTATTATGGATTACTCACCGCACAGTACAGGGATTCTTCCACGTCCACCGATCGTCGCTCCAGGTTATCATCGCCCTTTGCTGCCGGCCTTGAACCCTCTTCCGCACACTCATTACGCCCCTTATAACCCTTACCATCATTACAATAACCCGTTCAATCCTTATCATTATCACGATCCCATCCTTGTTGCTCCTGCGTATCGATCGGCTTTACCTCTTCCTCCTCATACACCAGTCTTGCACGCTTTGAAAAATAGAGTTGGTGACTTATTAGATAAAGCTGGTAAACATGGACCTGGATTGCTGGACTCTGATGCTACCAGCAATTCCGAGTCGCAGATCAATCAAATCAACGTCAACGTCAGATCGGATCCGACCACACCTCACACATTTCTATCCCATTTCTTCCCATGGTTAGATCCATTCGGTAATTCAGCCTTACCTTTCGTGGGTGCCCCGAATCCAGAAAACGCAGAAACCTCCAATGATTCTGTCACTGAAGTACCAAACCTTGTTGATCTTGGAGAGGTTACAACACAACCTACTACAGAACTCAAAAAGGAAGAATCTGTCACTACAGCGCCAGTAAATAAACAAACTATAACACCTGAGAATCCTGAAAAAATTACAATACCTGAAAATCCAGAACAACAAAAACCAGTTGAGGTCGAAACTAAAACACCAATTTTATTGGAGAATACAGAAAAACCAGAACTTATCAATCCAGAAAACCAGGAAACACAGCAACATATTAATCTACAGCAAGGTAAATAAACAAATTTTGATATATTCTGACACTTAATGATTAAAATTTATTACTTATCATAAATTACAGCTGTCTAAATTAAACTTATATTTTCTTAAAAATTTCAGCTCCAATAGTAAATGAAAACAACGATGAAAATGTTGCTCCAAAAGTATTGGAAGATGATAAGCAGAAACCAGTTGAAGTTAAGAAGCTGAGTTTGCAGGAGAAGAAGAAATTCGCTTTGCTGATTAAGAATAAAAAGTTAGCGGAGAAATTGTTAAAACAAAAGACCGAAAAGCAGAAAATCGATGAAGAAGAACAAAAAACTGAAGAGAAACCATCAATTTTACCGGAACCCATTGTAGTATTTCCACCAATAGAATCATTACCAATGTATAAAAATCAAACTGAATAATTTATTTATTTGTGTTTTGTATACATATACATAATTATAATAAGTATATATAATAATTGATTTGTTTGTCTTTATGTAATAAGTATACATATTTTATAATTTAAAGAAAATACTGATGGAAGAAACTTATAGTTTTTACAGGCCACATGGTTTGGAGTTTATTTCAGGATTCGCGTTATATTCTTGTTATTCAGTTGATTCCTGAGAAATTTTCATAAAAATATATATTGAAAGTGATGAAAGCGTTTCCTGCAGTGCCACTAATTACTCCCATACTAAAAATTTAAATAGTGACGTGTTGAAATTTCGCTCATTTTCTACAGGAAAATGTTTAGTTTTTCATTAATTAAATATAAATAAACAATGTCAGTTCATAATACTTCGATTTTTTAATTGATTTTGAAGCTAAATTATGTATTTTTGATATAATTTAATTAAATTATTTTCTCTGATTATTTTTGTTAATTCTAAAAATGTATTTTTTCAATTGTATTTTTAATAGGTTTCCTGTGTTTAATTCTTTTGTTGGTTTATGGAAGGTTACGTTTTCTTGTTTGAAGACTTGTAAATTCGAAATAATTCAAGCTTAACGTAAAATAATATAATCTAATTAAATGTTGTTTCTTTCTTCGGTAGTACGACGGGGTTAATTAGTGTGAAATTGAAGAATTAGAATATAGTATAAGGCTGCACGTGCAGGGAACAGAGGAAGGACTTGCACTGAAGCATGAACGATTCGATTATTAACGATGCACCTTAAGGATACAAACGCGTATTATTGCTTCCATGTACCACCATAATATCCTGCATTTATTATGCATTGACGAGATTCTCTTCCAGTTCACCGAACAAATGACCAGTTTAATGATGTATCAAAAATCCTTGCAATTTTATCACTTTTCCTTTATATACTTATGCTGCGTCTACACTTTTCCTGATATGTGATATAAAAGTCTTTCAGACGTACTAACTAGTAGATTAACTTGATAATAAATAGTTATCTTGAAGTTTGATGGCAGTGAAATTTAATTGACAGATGTCTTTAGAAGTATTTTAAGATCTAGTTAAGAGTGACAAAGTACCAGTGTCAAACGTACAAACTTAAAACGAATTATGTAACTGTAATTAATTACTGTTTTTAGTCAATAGTTAATATAAAGTCTGATGATAGTCAAACTAAAGAGACATATATCTGTCAGATCCATATAGTATATTTAAAAATCATTGAATAGTTATGTAATGTCATGAATTGACAGATGTCTCCAAAAAGTATTGTAAAATCTAGTTACAAATGATGGATTACAATGATAGTAATTAGTTACTGCCTTTAGGATCGGTATATGTGACATTTGCTCTTAATTAAAGTACAATTCTGTATGAAATCAAATATTGAAATATGAAATATTTTGGTAATACAATAAAATTATAGTAATTAAGATTTGATTTTTTTTAGTAATTAATCCTTTAAGAAGGTTCAATGAACAAGAAAGAAGATTAAATGATCTATCCAACCCATTTGTTCGCATTTTCCATGTTTATTTGCCTTGAGACATAAACGCTTTAGTTTTCTCCCCCTAACTTATATCTTTTATGCCCTCCAAGCGAAATAAAAATTTACGATGTAAACAGAACTTTCTGAACCATTTCATGTGTTTCTATGTATATATGATTTTTTTTTCCTTGCTGCGCCACCGGAATGCACAAACATCACTTCGGAATTGGTTGCATAAATATTTAGATTTAAGCATAAACTCGATTTCCTACGAAGGGATTTAATAACTTGCGGTCTCGTTCGATCATTGGAGAAACCGCATTTCCGCTTTTTGCAAAATGTTTTTTTTTTTTCAGTTTTTCAGTTTTCTCACGTCGTTTTGATCATAGCTGGAAATGAGGAATGCATTCACGTACCGAAAGGAATTGATCCAGATTTAATGTTTCTACAGTCACGTTCAAAGCCGTAACGCGATGGAAATTGATAAACGCCGGTTACGTAACATTCTCATAGAGTATTAGTCCTAAGCTTATCATCGAGATGCGCCGTGATTTATCTGCATGGATGTTGAGAGTAGCTGGTATCGGGATGGTGCATATATATGTATATAGGAGGAGTTGGAAGTATAATAGATAAAAGCCAATATTTTCACATGTTCATCCGTTCCGCACGGATAATCCAGCGCAAATGCTGTCGGGGAAATAAACGGAGTGCGACCATTGTCTGCAGAGGTTTCATCCCTTCATCACGCGTGCCATCCCCGGAATCGTCCCTGTAAAATGGAAGTATGAAAGGGGGATGGAACCCCATACGATCGCGAATATTTATTGCATAGCTCCAATCGGATGTAACTAATTCGGATGAAATATTGCTTAGGAAGTCTGCTAACTGCCCATGTAACTCACTTACCGAATCGAATCCGATTCCATTTCATTACAATCAATTACTCGATTGCTTTTATGACAGCATATGCAACTCAATAATATTTATATTCATTATTTTATTTAATATTTTTAATTACTTTGCTTAGGCCACAAAATCAATCCTGATTTATAACATCAAAACAAAATTCATTGAAATTCATCAATCATCATTAAACGATCCAATAACATACATATATCACAAATCACATTTGTTTTTCTAATTATATTAATGCTCTTATTTAAGTTCATTCAACAGTAATTTCAATCTAATTATGTAATACATTTACATAATAACATATAAATCATCAATTTTTTTTTCATAAAAATATTCCTTAAAACTGAAATTATTAATTAACAATTCTGAGAATAGTTTTTGTCATAATTTTACTGAACCCTGCGATTTGTTAATTATACAATAATTAGATTAATTTAAACAAAGAAAACATAACTTTTTCCGTTTCTAATTTTTTTTAATTTTAAATAAATTGTAATATTATTGTAATTTATTAAATAATTAATATCAATAGGTATAATGTTAAACTTCTCTACATTTTATTATTATTGTGATAAACTTTGTATTTTCTGTTACTTTTGTTATTATTAAACAGAAAATTAAAAAAAAACTCAATAATTTCAATTAATAATAATGGAAAATTATATGGTCTATATCGCAAGCCCGACAACCGATAGACGGTCTCTATTGAAATCCCGACTGTATTGAAATCCCGACTATATCAAAATCTCAACAACCATAATCCCGACAACCATAATCGCGACTATATCAAAATCTCGACTGTATCAAAATCCCAACTATATCGAAAATTTTTACAATAACATTTTTAAATTATTATCCCTACTGTATCAGAATCTCGACAACTATAATTCCGACAACCATAATTCTGACAACCATAATCCCGACTGTATCAAAATCCCGACTAAATCGAAAATTTTTACAATAACAATTACAATGTTTCGGAGTGTAGTCACCTTGTGCTACACTTTTATTATTAATAACAACACATTATTATTAATTTATTTAATTTTGTTGAATTATTCATAATAAACCTTAACATTATGAAATAATCTCAAATACAATTAGATAATTAATTGTTATTATTTATTATTAATAACAATTTAAAAATCACTACGCTCCGGAATAATTTAAAAATGTTAATATAGACATTTTCGATATAGTTGGGATTATGGTTGTCGGGATTTCAATATAGTCGGGATTTCGAACGTCGGGAATTTGATTTGGTTGTCGGGCTTGCGATTGCCACCGAAAATTAAATATGTTCAACAGTTTAAATGTTGTTATGTAATTATATCCAAGTGTGTATTGACAGATGAGAAAAATATGGTTTTGTTTTTGATAGTTTGGACGTTCGTTGTCAGGCAGGAAACAAGTAGCAAACCGGAAGCGACCCTTCTTAATCTTTGGTGATAAATATATGGTTTCATAAATAACTGGAAACTCTAATAATCTGCACAAAATATGCACATACTTAAAAATATCAAATAACATAATAACGACTCATTTCTACATTCATTAAATAACTGCACGACTTTTTTTGAAAATTATTGTAAAATGTCGGCATATTAAGAAAATGTAATTTTAAATATTTTAAAATTTAACATATCTTCTAATTTTTTTATAAATAATAATTTTAATTATTATTAAGAAATTTATTAGTTTATAATTAAAAATATTAAAAATCAATTACTGAAAAATCTTTCTTAAAATATTTACGAGAATTGGAAACAGTAATAAGAAATGTCCCCTTTAGAAAACGGAGTCTGTTTGTTGTTTTTTTTTTATTAGATTTCAAAGGGACGAAAACTCAATATAATTGATTTATTGCTCCGTCTCGAATTTCCGTTTCCTTGGGATACATTTCCATGTAAAGATTTATGGGAATTTTTATGTGCGTGGACATTATTACTTTTTTTATGGAAAAAAACATATAAGAATTGCAATAAAACTTTCATTACTTGATGTAATTACTTTTCTTCAACAAAACATAAACATTAAAAAAAAGAAAATGTTTATTAATAATTAAATCATGTTAGCTGTAAATAATATTTTTTGTATGTTAATTGTTTATTTATTATTGTGTAAATACTAGATAATAAGTAAAAAAAATCATTTAAAAATAAATTTCACAAGCACTTGACATAAATATTTAATTCATTTTTATTTTGGTTATTTAATAAGCAAAAAAAAGTAATTTTTTCATGGCTTCTTTCATCCTTTGTATAAAGATTGGTAATACATAAATATTATTTTTAATTAGTTGATCTTTTCTACAAGCAGTCATTTCTTTGAAACCGGACTAATCGAGGAACTAAATAAAATAGAAACAGTACAAAAGGAGATTTGATTTGACTAGAGGAAAAACTAGATCATTTATGAAAAAATAATTAAAAAATTACTTTGGTTTATCCGGATTGATCGAAGCCGCATTATGCGATGTATTGGTGTATTTCTCTATTTATTATATTAGAAACTTAACAAATAAGCTAATAACAAAAACAAAACTATCCTGATAATACAAACAATTTTCTAACCACGTCTCTATGTTTAGGTATGTCACATAA